GAGACAGAGCTGAACCCCTCCCAGCAGCAGCAGCAGCAGCAGCAGCAGCAAAAGCAGCAGCAGCAAAAGCAGCAGCAGCAACGCCTGCTGCTGCTGCTGCTGCGTATCAAGTGCGGGCCAGGCTGCTGCCGGACCACCTCAAGAGTTCTCAGGCGCAAAGAGAAATTGTTAAGAAATAATCAATGAGATTGTTTTTTATTTTTGTATTTTTTATTTTTTATTTTAATTATTCATTTTTAATTATTTATTTTATTATTTAATCTACTGATTTGTGCCTCTGGGTGAGGGCCCCGAGAGAGGCGCGAAGCTCGAGGGCCCTCGACAACCCACGGCTTCCAGATGACAGAATTAGGGTTTAGGGTTTAGGGTTTAGGGTTTAGGGTTTGGTTGCAGCCTTCGCATCTGCTTCTTCTTCTTTAAGCTGGACTTCGCCGCGAGCAGCACAGCTAGTTAGTCAGCAACTTATTCTTGAACCCTAAACCCTACAGCCTAAACCCTAAACCCTAATTCCGAGTTGCAGTTAGCAACTCGGGCGATAAACTGGCTGCTTTCCGCATTGAAACTCTAGGGTTTAGGGTTTAGGGTTTAGGGTTAGCTGTTCAGCTGATTAGATGGTGATCTGCTGCTGCTCGTCGCTGCAGGCGCTGCAGCAAACCCCTGTGGGCAAGTCCCAGAGGCCGCCCCCGCCGCCGCCGCTGCTGCTGCTGCTGCTGCTGCGCTGCTGCTGCTGCTGCTGCTGCTGGCCTAGCTGCAATATATACTGCAGTCTTTTCCTTTCTCTAACCGCTTCATCTTCTGCTTCGTCTCTTTTCAAAGAACTCCTCAGCGGGGGAAACATGTGCTCCGCGATGTCACTCATCGTTTCGTACCTGCTCACAAACCCCAAACCCTAAACCCTAAACCCTAAACCCTAAACCCTAGATCACAAAGGCTAGACCCTAGGCCCTAAGCAGCAGGCAAAAGCAAGCCATCCGCTGTGCGAGTCTTTCGGCGCTGGGGCGGCTCAGCATCGTCCTCTCACACAAACCCTAAACCCTAAACCCTAAACCCTAAACCCTAAACCCTAAAGTGCAGATTCTGTGTTGGCGGGTTGCGCCGTGTTGCAGTGCTGGGTTGCTGCAAACTAGCCAGCAGGCGAACAGCAGCAGGACCTCTAAAACCCTAAACCCTAGTTGCGGCCGCCAGCCCTAGGACTAGGGTTTAGGACTAGGGTTTGGGATTAGGGTTTGGGATTAGGGTTTGGGATTAGGGTTTAGGGTTTGGACTCACGTGCGCGCGTAAGTGGCGTTGCTGATGTGGTGAATAACCCCAGCAGTGTCAATAATAAATATTTTCGCCTCAGGAATGCCCACATGGATATACGCCCGATGGTCCTGCAGCAAACCCTCAGGGTTTAGGGTTTAGGGTTTGGGGTTTCCTCCTATACGCATCCCTCCTGGTGCTAGGCTTACGGTTTAGGGTTTAGGGTTTTAACTGCACGGCGGCTCTCCAGCGAGGGTTTAGGGTTTAGGGGTGGGGGTCTGCGCGGCGCCCGGCTGTGGGCCTCGGGCCTCCCGCCTAGGGTTTAGGGTTTAGGGTTTAGGGTTTAGGGTTTGGGGCGCACCGACTCCCTGTTACCGAACCCTGCGTAAAAAGGGTTTCGGTTTGCAGGAAAAAGACTCCTAATGTCTCTCAGTGCTGCTATTTTGAAAATGTAGGGTTTTCTGTCAATTACTTCTCTCCTAAAAGAAGGAAAAAGCCGGTCCGGACTCAGTATCAACGGGCCGTCTGCAGCGCACAAACCGAGGGTTTAGGGTTTAGGGTTTAGGGTTTACGGTCCACCGTATATGCTCGGCCATTCACGGCTTCCGGGGGCCCCCCGGGGCCCCCGGAAGCCCCCAGGGGCCCCGAGGGGGCCCCCCTGGGGGCCCCCAGAGGCTCCCAGCGGCCCCCAGGGGCCCAAAGGGGCCCCCCGGGGGGCCCCGGGGGGCCCCCGGGGGCCCCGGGGGGCCCCCGGGGGCCCCCGGGGGCCCCCGGGGGCCCCCGGGGCCCCCGTTTGCGGGGAAAAAGAGGGTACCTGGGAGTTTGTCTCTTTCCTTTTGCGTGAGTCCGAAGAGGTAGTCTCTGGTGGCGTCGGCCTGGCCAATGGCCCTGGCAGTCAAGTAAAGAATTAAATATCCATTTCTTTTGATTTTGGTGAAGAGTTCAGCCACTCCCGTGTGGGACCAGTCCCGCCCCACAATCGGCATCAGCTGCCCCAGCACGTCCGACCTGCGCGCCCCACGCCCACCAGCTCGCTGGCTAGCTGGCTAGCTAGCTAGCTGCCTAGCTAGCTGGCTAGCTAGCTGGCTAGCTAGCTAGCTGGCCACACACGCAGCTAGCTAGCTGCCTAGCTAGCTAGCGCTCAGCAGCTGGCCGGGTAGCTAGCTAGCTAGCTAGCCGCACGCGCAGCTAGCTAGCTACCTAGCTAGCTAGCGCCCAGCAGCTGGCTGGCTAGCTAGCTAGCTAGCCAGACACGCAGCTAGCTAGCTAGCTGGCGCCCAGCAGCTGGCTGGCTAGCTAGCAAGCTAGCCAGCCACACAGCCAGCCAGCCAGCTAGCCAGCCAAACAGCCAGCTAGCTAGCCAGCGAGATACGCAGCCACCTAGCCAAACGCACCAGCAGCAGCAGCAGCAGCAGCAGCAGCAGCAGCAGCAGCAGCAGCAGCAGCAGCAGCAGCAGCA